AAATAATCAATGTGTGGCTGTCCTTAACTTTCTATTAGACAGGCAGTGCTGTGGTCTTCACTCAAGTCAGCACCTTTTCAGAAGATGTCAGCATTTCTAAAGGGCTTTTAGAGAGAAATGTCTATTTTGTGCAGCGAGGTACTGGGAGATGTCAAATGATCTGAGAGCAGCCAAGCTACCTGAACAGCTGGCGTGTTTGTTATGCAAACGCTGCAGGACTCAATAACTACATTCAAGTCATATGTCGCCCTGACTTCACTTGTTCCATCCTTGGTCTCAGCTTGGAGACGAGTCTCCAATTTCAGTTTCGTTAATGGGAGGTCTCAGAATCCACAGGAAAAGCACACACTCTGAGCCCTTCCCACCCAGGCTCTGCGGGTGTGAGGATGAGCAGATCCAAGTGCCCTCCTTACATTTCCCCCTGAGACGCTCTGTGAGGTGATGTGAGCCAAAGTGATCAGGATAAGGATGAGGAGGATGAAGGGCCAGGTCTACTCCAAACATCACCCAGGTCTATTCTTTTCCCTTCTTTCTTCAAGTGATTCTGTAACCCATGCCCACGGTGCACCAGTCAGTCAAAGTTGGATTGAATTATTGTGTCTTTGATTGTTATTCCTATTTTTAGAAAGTGCTTTTGTAGCAGAAGAAATGACCTAGCCTGGGAGAGGCTAGAGCACACTTAGCATAGGTCCTAAGATTTTCAGGAGAGAGAGCATTTGCCACTTTGGAATGAAGCTCTGGGGTGTCAGACTTAGCACCGATTTTTCCAAACTACAAACGGTATGCCAGCTACAGTGAGAAGTCAGCAATACTGTATTTTATTACCTGTGCTAGGAGCATAAAAATGGATTTCAATGTTCTCCCTTGATCATTGTATTATAATTTAAAGCAGCACAAAATCCTCTTTACAAATCATTTTTTAACTGCCTGTAATGACTACAGTGTGAACTCCTTAGGAACATAAAATACATATTCAGAATATGCTTTCTTCCTAGCATATTATTCATTACTTCTAGTAAATAAGGAGGAATACCATGTTAGGTTTCATGGGATGATCAGGCCATTATTTGTCCATCTTCTCATCC